AAAGAGCGCTGCAAACAAAACTGCAATTCTTGTCATAGACTCTGCCAAATTAACTTGAAACCAAACATGATGAGTCTGAATTAGGACTGACAGAGATCTCAGGGCTTTAGCATTCTTAGAATCTTACAGAAAAGTAATAGCATTTAAGACAAATATCAGTATCAAAGTTTTGCTGCTTCCCTACTTAACCTATTCAACTGCACCCAACATACAAATGACCTTTGAAGGGTCCTCCGGTGCTGAGCAGTTCAGATCCACAAGATTCCTAAAAATGCTTTCTATTTCCAGATGTATCTATCAGATTTCCACATATGTTGCTCACTCTTAAAAAATAGTGGGTCTCTCTTAGACCATCATGCAACCACCACTTTTTCTACTTTTAGAAGAGGACTGAAGATTCTCTCTTATCTGGGAGAAAGAAGATTATATTTAACTTCATTTCATCTTCTAGAACTGACACGAAATGGAATCAAGGGAACTCTGGCTGGCAGACTCTTTCTTCTTAGAAAGATTTTCCAGTGGAAGAGAAATACAGTGGGCTGTCACCTAATAGGCCATATGTTTAAAAAAAGCCAGAAAGTATTCTGCCTTCAATCCAGATCTATGGAAAATAGAACATAGCTGGATTCCCTGGCCTGCAGCTTGGATGTTTTTAGGCAGGTCTTCCATGTTCTCCTGCTTTGTATATCCTTTTTATTCTTTCTCTTTGAACACACTAAGCTTAATTTCACAGAATGCATAGGATGTCAAAAGTCAGCCATTGGGGGGTGGGGGAGTGAGTGTTAATTTGCAAAATGAAGCAAAATGCTGCATCTTGGAAATCATGATACTAGACAGCAAATCAGAAAATTACCTAATAGCGAAACCTGGTTTCTTAAACATCTTTGCTTAAATGATAAAAGTTCTGAGTAGAGTTAAGCTATCACACACAAACTAATTAATTAATTAGATGGAGAACTTTGGACAAAGACAAAAATGACACCAAGTGCAAATAAGGATCAATCACAATTGTTTAACAGTTTACATTTTATTAGACCTGTGGGCAAACAGACATACGGTAGTATAAGTGAAAAACAATTCTTATAATCGGCTAGTTAACACTCTTTATACCCAAATTTATGTCTTCTAGCTTCGCAAGTTCTAAAGAAAGCTGACATCCAAAATCCCTCCTAACAATATTCATTTGCATTCAAGAAAACGATGATTATAATATTTTCATTAGGAGTCATAGAAGAGGCAGGCAGAAATTAGCAAAGTCTTTCAGACAGGAGTTCCCCTTTCAAAATGGAACCATCATCCTTTGCCATTGCTACTGTAGGAAGTTAGTACCCACCCCTCTCCTAGGAAAATGAGATATTTTGGGAAATATTAAAAGGACAGAATATTTCCCCTAAAAGGGAGGCCGAAACTCACCCTCCCCATTTTGTCAATGGGCCATTAAGACCTGGGCCAGTCTATTCTACATAACAAAGATCTACCTCCTTCAGGCAGAGCCATAGTAGGAATCCCAAAGCCCTTTCATTACATCATCACCCAGCAAGCGTCAACCAAGCTTGGGACTCAGGACAGCCTACAGAGTTGCCCCAGCATGGCCCCATGGGAGTCTGACAACCAATCAGAATAGAAAGTCAAATTCAAAAGCCCAGAGAGGGCATAAAACCGGGGCACTTTCAACATCTCTTCCCTTTTTTCCCCCAGGACCTCAAACCATGTAGTCCTGACCACCATTAAAAACCATCTTTCCAAGCAGTCTCCATGTTTCCAGGGTCTTTCTTCCCCACTTGGAACTGAACCCGGATGGACATTTCTTCCAACACTACTGCTGGCCAGAGATGAAGATAATGGAAGTGGGGTGGGAATTATTCTTGTCATAATTTTGAATTCAGCAAGGACTTAGTAGAAAGAAGGGCAGGAAAGAGGAAGAAGAAAGGTCTAAGAATTGGTACCACTCCCCTGCAGGGACGTGGGCTTGGCAAATGTATTGTTGTTTCAGTCTTATGGACAAGCTTGTGTCAGCTTCTTTGAAAAAATGGGTGGGGAATGTTAATTTATCTGTCTCTTGCAGAGTTTAAAAAACAAGCAAAGTTGTGGTTGGATCCGTGGGTTTTTCTTTATTTTTCACCCAGAGAAACAGGAGACCACTGCAATAAAGCTGATAGGAATTGGTCTCCTTTGCTTATCAGTTTGACGATGGGGGAGAAAGAAGAGTACTGGGAGATAGAGAGGACCTTCCTCATCTGCAGATGCCAAATTCTAAGCCTCCGAGGGCTTCCCCCCCACTTTTCCTTTTAGGAGATGGCTGCTGGGCCCATGCCAGGATTACTTATGTATGTATTTTAAAAGAATCAAATTTGATTGGGGGAATGTGCAATTCTGTGCCAGACTGAATGCTGCACATTAAGCAGAGTGATACATGTTTGTTTGCCATCTCTTGGTCAGCTGCTTCGTGACTTGTGGGATGGAACAATCTGTGGCCATTGTCAGCAGTTCCTTCCCTTCGTCTGTCTTTCAGTAAATGCTGAAATTCACAAGTTCTTCCTCTTTTTTTTTTTTCCTTCTCCACAGCATCTCTGCGAAGCTTCTAAAACTGTTTCTCAACCTTGACGACTTTAAAACGTGTGGACTTCAACTCCCAGTTTTTCCCATGGATGGCTATGGAATTCTGGGAGTTGAAGTCCACACATCTTTATTTATTTATTTTTTATTTTTTTATTTTATTTATTTGTCAAGAACATATTAGGTAATATATATAAGTATAAGCATGAATTGAATACATAAAATAGATACAAATAAAGGGAACATTAGGACAGGGACGGTAGGCACGCTGGTGCTCTTATTCATGCCCCTCTTACAGACCTCTTAGGAATGGGGTGAGGTCAACAGTAGACAGTCTTAGGTTAAAATTTTGGGGGTTTGGGGATGAAACCACAGAGTCAGGTAGTGCATTCCAGGCATTGACCACTCTATTGCTGAAGTCATATTTTCTGCAATCGAGTTTGGAGCAGTTCACTTTAAGTTTGTATCTATTGTGTGCTCGTGTATTGTTGTGGTTGAAGCAGATAATTTTATGAGCTACGCTTAGGTCATACCGAAGACGGCGTAGTTCTAAGTTTTCTAGGCCCAGAATTTCAAGTCTGGTGGCATAAGGTATTTTGTTGCGAGCAGAGGAGTGGAGGACTCTTCTTGTGAAATATTTCTGGACACATTTAATTGTATTAATGTCCGATATTCAGTGCGGGTTCCAGACAGATGAGCTGTATTCGAGAATTGGTCTAGCAAATGTTTTGTATGCTCTGGTTAGTAGTGTGATATTACCGGAGAAGAAGCTACGCAAGATTAGGTTTACAACTCTTAATGCCTTTTTGGCAATGTTGTTACAGTGGGCTTAAAGTTGCTAAGGTTGAGAGACAATGCTCTAAAGCTAGGTTATTGGTCAGTTAAAACATTCTTACTTGGAAAATCATGTAGGCTTTGCCTCCTGCATGTAAAACTGCAGACTGTTTTTGGATCTGCCTTTCTCACAGTAGGGTTTGTTCTTAAAGAAAACACGCCATCTTCTTTCACATACACCTCTTCCAAGAAGATGATCACAGCCCTGCTGCATTTATTATCCCTTCTCATTGCAATATGTTTTAATTGGAAGTGGGCTTTTTTAGGCCATTTAAAGCAGCAGGTTTTGTTTAAATTGCTGTTTTCAAGATGCTGAATTTTAATCCCTGCACTGTCCTTTTTTTTTGAGCAGGGAGGTTATAAACTGTGACTTCTGGTGCCTAATTTCTAGCTATCATGCTCCTTCTGGTCCTGAACATGAGACAATATAAGATAAATGGGACATAATAAAATGAATAATGAAGCAGGATCCAATCTGAGTTGATCATCAGAGATTTATTCTTCCAAGCTTTCAGACTTGTGCCGGAGCCCATCCTCAGGGAACTTCTCTCTCTACACACATTCTGAAGAGAGAGAGGTTCCTTTAGGATGGGCTCCAGCACAAGTCTGAATGCTTGGAAGACAAAACCCCTGGTCCCGGTGACCGACTCAGATTGAATCCTGCAACATTATCCTAGGATACTATATTTGCCTTCATGTTGTGGCCCACCAGCAGCCAGCTGAGCTGGTGGCAGACTCGGATAGTGAGGAGGTTGGGGAGGAACATGGGCCAGTCCTGGAGTCTGAGGAAGGCTCTGATGAGTGCTCTGTGTCAGAGGCAGAGATGGGACCAGGGCCATCTGACAGTTATCAGCTACCTTCGGAGTCGGAGATAAGTGAGGCTGAAGAACAGCTGGAGCCTGTGCGCATGCGCAGAGCTGCCAGGAGAAGGAAACAGTTAAGGAACAAGGGCTGACTTGGGAGTAAAGGCACAGATGGACAGTGAATGGCCCCTCCCATAGGGAATAAACAGGAGCGAAAGGGGAGTGGAGTTTACAGGAGACAATTAGTTCATTTCAGTAGTGTGAAGATCTGTTCATGACTGTCAGAGACTCCTTGCCAAGTATTTTCTTGTACAGCATTGCGTTTGGAAGATATCGGTTTGGCAGCTCTCCAAGCCTGATAAAAGGTCTGTGGTTGTAAATTCACTCAAAAAGACTGTTTACTGGGACTTTGCTGGATGTGAATGACAGGAAATCACATTAGCTTAATAAAAAGGGATTTTGTCAGGACAAGGAGTCCCTTTTGTGACGCCTAGGTCAGAACACTTCATTTGTAAATAATGAATGTCATAGTATGAAATTCTAGTTCCTTCTAATGGACATCAGTGGATGGTTTGCTATTTGAGAATGTCTCTAAAAAGCTGCCATCAGGATTGACATCAGCCAATCAAATCTTTATTATAGTCATAGACAAGCATACCTTTTCATCAAGTTTCTGTTCCCCTGGTATGAAAGCATTGGGTATTGAGTAGGAAGAGCAACAGCCCACTTCTCGTCTGCTATGGGAATTCTGAATGGTGGGATAAAACAAGACAGCATTACAAACCACTGTCTCCTCCTTCTTCCCAGGATTTCGTGCAAGCAGGAGAGTCTGATGCAGAGCGTTGTGCCCCTCGGCCAGAGCTGGAGCATCGTGGCTGCCTTGCCAGTGAGATCATGGATCCCCAAGGCAAGCAGCATATTTTGGAGGACAGGCCTCTGAGAGAAAACATCTACCATGAAAACATCACTCAACTGTCACCGCAAAGAATAGTTCTTCAGCTTCGGCCTGGTAAATACTGTTGGAAGAAATATCCATCTGGTTCAGTTCCAAACCAGGAGAAAGGCACTGGAGACAAAATGGAGGCTGGAGGCTGATTGGAAAGAGGGTTCATTTATTGATGAAGCAGAACCATCAAGCACCTGTGATTCTGGGCAGCTGACCACATGGAGTTGAGAGGGAGGGTTTTTTATATCTTCTCTTGGGCTTTGCACTTGAGCTTCCTGTTCCTGTGCAATAACATGTATTCTATTGGCTGTTGTAGGGGTTGTAGAGGTCATAGCTGGCCCTATAGGTTGTCTGAGCTAAGTTCGGTTGAAGTTTCTAAGGGTGGTGCAATAATTAATGGCTTTGCCCTGTTTTGGCTCTTGAGTGAGGGCTAATCTGCCTTTGTTCAGACTTTGCTGCAGAGAGTAATGGTTTACCAAATCTGCATTTCAAAAAGCTGCCCCAGCTCAGTATCTGCTTGGGGGCAGGGAGCTGGGGCTCTGAGTTTCTGTCTCCCTTAAGATTTTTATTTCTCTTTTAGGGGGAATATTTTATCCTACCTTTTTAAAAATATTTCTCAAAATATTTCATTCTTCTAGGAGGGAGGGTGGTGGCTTCCCACAGTACTTTTATTGGAAAGAATCTCCAGAATCTGAAGAATCTGAAGAACATTTGATTGCCTGATCTGCTTACCAATAGGGAGGTTCCCACCATCCCTTCCTAGGCCAGACACATCTTCCCTTCCTTCTTCCCTTCTGATTCTGTGCCTGTAGGAAAGGAACAGAGTTTCACTGTGCGCTTCAAACGGGCTGAGGGTTATCCTGTGGACCTCTACTACCTCATGGACTTGTCCTACTCCATGAAGGATGACCTGGAGAAGATCAAGCAACTGGGAAGTGACTTGATGGCTGCCCTGCGCAAAGTTACTACCTCAGTGAAGATTGGTATGTAGTGAACTCTGAACAGGGAAACACAGAAGATCTAGGGAAAGCATCATAAATTAGTGTAAGCCTTAGAAGAAAAGATGTAAAAAGTATTCCCAACGATACCTGAAAACTAGCATTTATTTTGTCTTTGGACACATTTAGTTTAATATTTTTAAAAATGAAGTGAGGATGCCTTGCCTAGCATCTGAATTCTTTATCTTTACTAGATAAAAAGACTTTGCATCTCTGCTGACTAGCATGTACCTACAAAGTTTTCTTTATAGCAATAGCACTTAGACCTATATACCGCTTTACAGTGTTTAACAGCCCTCTCTAAGTGGTTTACGGAGTCAGCATATATGCCCCCAACAATCTGGATCCTCATTTTACCGACCTCAGAAGGATGGAAGGTTGAGTCAACCTTGAGCCTGGTGAGATTTGAACTGCCAAATTGCAGGCAGCCAGCAGGCAACAGAAGTAGCCTGCAGTACTGCACTCTAACCACTGCGCCACTGTGGCTCATTATAGGGTCATATATTGGGCTTTTGTATTGCTTTATCCCTTGGATGAGAAATCCCTCTCCCTCTCCCTCTCCCTCTCCCTCTCCCTCTCCCTCTCTCTCTCTTTCTCTCCTCCCCCCTCCCCCCATTCCCTTGAGGTTCTATTTTTAAATGCGCAAATTTATTCTAAGTCTTGCCCTAGTTTTTGGGGAATCCCACTTTTGTATTCACTCTTTGATAACTGTATGTCAGCCTTTCCAAATAGGCCAGGCAGGAACCATGACCAGATAAATTAATTCCACTTTATTATAAATCTACATTAACAGAATCTTGCACCTGTGAAAGTGCAATTCTCCTGCCATTTCCTTTACAGCCCAAGAACCTAAGGAGGGTCCCTTCAAAGCCTATTGCCCTGCCCACTATCCAGCTGTGGGCTATGCTGTCTTGTATCTGATCTGTCCCCTAGGTGGTACCCCATCTCCCAAAACCTTATCTGTGTGCTTGTAGGAGGTTGTAAAGCCCTCAGAGCTGGGGCTTAAGGGTAACATGAGGAAGACAGAAGATCTTTTCCTTGCAGGGTTTGGTGCCTTTGTGGACAAGACTGTGCTGCCTTATGTCAATATGGTTCCTTCCAAGCGGAAACATCCCTGCCTAATCCCAAAGGAGAACTGCCAGTCAGCGTTCAGCTATAGGCACGTGCTCGCTCTGACTGAGAACGCCAGTGAGTTTGAGAGCAGGGTCGGTCAGCAGCGCATCTCAGCCAACCTGGATGATGCAGAAGGAGGCTTTGATGCTATCATGCAGGCAGCCATTTGCAAGGTGAGTGTAGCAGAAACCCTGACCACTCAGTCTTCAATAATCACAGGGCACCTGCTGGCAAGTGCCTCCAACCCAGATTTTTCAGTGATGGGTTGCTCCCGGTTCGCCTCGGTTCGGGTGAACTGGTAGTGGTGGTGGCAGGAGGCATCATCAAAAACGATCTGCACATGCACAGAAGCTTCTGCACATGTGCAGAAGCGCCATGTGCTCGCAAAGCGAGCGTGCGCCTCCGCGCGCTACCGATAGCAAACCGTTAGCTCCGGGTTTTGAAACCCACTACTGAGATGTTTATAACCTTCTGTCCTTTGAGATGCTCGTATGAATTGTGCCCATGTTGCTCTGTGCTAGGGAGAACGGTGAGAAAGGTCCCATCCTAATAAGGCCTTTTCCTTCTCCATTTTCACAATCGATCCAGGATTCAACTTTCAAGGTAAGGTCTACTAAGTCCCAACTGATTAATACCATTAACTTTTCTAACTTTTCATAACCAGCAGAACAGTCCTGCCCAGGGGTGGGTTCTACTTACCTTTACTACCAGTTCGGAGAAGCATTTTGATGACGTTGGGGGTGGGGGGGCAGAGCCTCCCACCGGTTTTACTACCGGTTTTATAGAACCAGTGCGAACCGGGGGCAACCCACCACTGGTCCTGCCAGAGCAGCCCAAACTATGAGTTAAGCAGGACTGATTCTATTTTTATTATTTTTACTAACTTTCTTTTCAGGGCTGGGAGAGAGAGAATGAGGAAGAAACCTCTTTCTCTAACGGCTTTTTCTACATGTCAAATTTTAAAAATTTATATTCCCTCATTATATGTGCCTCCCCTCTCCCAGGTTTGGTAACTGCTTATACTTTACTACTTCATACAAAGTTGTGACTATTCTTTTCCCACGGCAAAATCAGGACATTCTCCAGAAGTTCCTTCCCTCCCACTTGCTCCCTCAAAAAAAAATAAAAATACTTTGATATTTTTCCTGTGGAAAAGCATACATCTCCTTCCTTGCTCTGGACAGTTCTTCTTAGGCTTGCTAAATCCACTAGGCAGCTACGAGGCTGGGATTATGCAGACTAGGTTTCCTTCCTTCCTTCCTTCCTTCCTTCCTTCCTTCCTTCCTTCCTTCCTTCCTTCCTTCCTTCCTTCCTTCTTTCCTTCCCTCCCTTCCTCCCTCCTTCCCTTTGCTTTAAACTTATATCTATCTACTCCTTGTTAGACTTTTCGCAAAATATTTAAAAATCTTTAAATACCTTTGTAATCCAGAAAGAATGTTGACTCATCCAAGTGGAAGTATTTTACCCTGCTACTCACACAGACTCGCTTTAGCTGTAAATTAATTACATCCGAAAGTGTTTAAGAAACTGAGGCTTGCACCAACCTTGTATCCATATAAGCTGCATTATGACTGTGAGCTTGATTAGAAGCTCATGACACCCCACTGCTCAACTCTCGAGTCAACCACAAAACCCTCAGATTCTGCCATCTCTTCATGAGGAGCAGTTGTACGGACTGCAAGTAGGCAATCTCACAATCTCTCCTTTACCCAGAAAGACTGCACTGGCTGCCCACTTCTGTAGCAATGCCATTCTGGCATTAGGAATGTCTATGCCACCCTAGATCCTCAACCAGAAACCACTCCTAATTTTTCTCAATCCGGAGCAAAATTTCACAAAATATCATTGCCAGTCTGATCGTTCAAACTTTGGTAACTGCTACCTTAGATTTATTTGCGGCGTTCCACATTTTCCGTTGGAAACCTTGTTTTCTAAGAATTAAACCAAGTGACAAAACCTGAGGTTTGGTATTGGTAGGTCTAACAGATTTTGAACTTTGATCCGAGCTTTATTCAAATGCGTCTTAACCTCTTCTGAATATGCAGCACTCCTGAGAGATCGTGAATGAGTACTCAGATCGAAAATATTGATGTAAGTGGAGTTGCTGTTTTGAATGTGGGAGAACTCACTTGACCCTTGCTCTCTCTTTCCAGGAGCAGATTGGCTGGCGTAATGTGACAAGTCTGCTGGTTTTCACTTCAGATGGCACTTTCCACACTGCAGGGGATGGAAAACTGGGAGGGATCCATATGCCCAATGACGGCCGCTGCCACCTGGATGCCAATGGTGTATACAGCAAAAGTCACCTCTATGTAGGTTCCTTTCTCATCTTCTTTAAAAGCTACTGAGGTTACTTAGAAAATAAGTGAAAGTGTGGTGTCTACCACATTGAAACCTGGGACTCTCAGGGGCACTGAACAATTCAGTGCCACGATTTTCTCAAAACCTGGTATCTTCTGGGTGTATTGGATTTTAACTCTAGTTGGAAGAAGAATTCTGGCAGTTGAAGTCTCATGCATCAAATTGCAAGATGTATTGAAGCAGAACCCAAATCCTCTGCACAGACCCAGTTGGCATATGGAGAGAACAAAAGGATTGAAATATCTCCCAGCCCCTATTGATTGAAATTCTATGGGAGGGAAATGATGAGGAAGTCCCTCCATGGTGGAAATGCTTGAGGCTGTGAAGTCAATGGGGGAAGGAAGAACAGGGAGAAAATGTGTGGACCAATGGGTGATTTGGATGGTCTACCATGCCTATCTCGGGGGTTACTGAATCCATCACACAACAATTAAACATGTTTTCCTCATAGCACTGTCTAGTTCTTAGCTGAGGAAAAGGGAGTGAATATTAGTTGTACTTTCCAATGTTATGAGCAATAACATTGGATGTAAGATTATTTGTTGAAATAGTAAGTAATGAAGAGTCCACTAACAACTTCCATTAGCCTTACCCAACACAATAAAAATAAGCGACAATGAGAATGGACCAAAATCTGGAGCATGTCAGGTTGCCTAACCCTGGCTTACTCTATGAGCATATCTTTAGCCCTTCATTTGGTAATGGGATCATTGTCAACAAGAATGACAGTTGTACATCTGCCTCCCCACCCCAACTTTGTATATTACTGAGCTCAATATCACAATTTTATTTATTTTCAAAAATGTATATTGCTGCCTATTTGCACATGGCGACTCAAGGCGGCTTACACGAATATAAAAACATCATATATGAAAAATAAAACTAGTAGAAGAAGGGGATAGGGAATAGCAATATCATGGTATTCCCTATTTCTCCATGGTAGATAGGGGAACAGTGGAAATGAACTGGTAATTTGACAGTGGATGTGTATTTATTTATATTTGCCATATATACCGTATTTTTCAGAGAATAAGACGCACCTTTTCCCTCCAAAAAAGAGGATAAAAATCTGGGTGCCTCTTATACTCCGAATGTAGCCCTGCCCAGCTTCTCAAACGGAGGTTTCAGAGGTTGAAAAAAGCCTCCAAACAGAGCTTCAGAAAAAAAGCCTCCAAACAAAGCTTCAGGAAAAAAGCCTCCAAACAGAGTTGCAAAAAAAAAAGCCTCAAAAAAAGCAGCGAAAAAAAAAAAAAAAAAGCCTCCAAACAGAGCTGCAGAAAAAAAGCTTCCAAACAGAGCTGCAGAAAAAAAGCCTCCAAATAGAGCTTCAGAAAAAAGCCTCAGAAACAGAGTCTCAGAGGCTTTTTTCCTGAAACTCTGTTTCGGAGGCTTTCAGAGGCAGGAAAAAAAGTTTTTTTTTCCTGAAACAGTGTTTCAGAATACGGTATGTTCTGTATTAGAAAATATGGTATGTTCTGTCCAATTTAGCACTAAAGCACCAAACCTATGCACAGCAGCATCTGATTTTGACTCAGTCAAGCTATTGGTCCTTGTGATCTAATACTTGGCCATATGAGAGGGGCTTTCTAAAGCTTTGGAGGATGGTTTTTTCTTGTCTTTCTATCCAAACCCATATCCATCGGAGATACCAGGGGCTGAATTGAACCTCAATTGAGCTGCAACAAAAAAACATGCACTCTGTTTTAGTGCTCTAGTTCTAGCCATGATCTCTGAAGAGATTTTAAAATTTCATGCCCTGAAGAAGTCTGATGTCAATCATGCAAATTCAATCAATTGCTGCATGTGCTTCGGCTTTTTTTTGGAGGGTGAGAGTAAATCCACAATATTTGGCTTGGAAGGTAGGGCACCGAAGCTTCTGGATTCTACCTGAAGTCCTGATGAGAAGGAAAGGGATTCCCCACCATCCAGTCAGAGCTGAAGAAGTTTCTTCAGCTGAGAAGCGAAACGTCTTCAAAGAAAAACCAGAAAGTCCAGTTGCCTCTTGGAAAAAAAGCACCTTTGGGACAACCATGACTTGGATGACTGAGAATCTCCATAGACTTTTAAGGAAGGGGAGGTTCCTAGGGGAAAAAGAACAATAACCAATGAGGAGGGAAAGGAAGAAAAGCATCTGTCCCTGTAACCACAGCCTCTGTCTCTTTGCAGGACTATCCTTCTGTTGGGCACTTGGCTGAAGTGTTGTCCAGATCTAATATCCAGCCCATATTTGCCGTGACTAGTTCCAGGCTATCCTTATATAAGGTGACTGCTGAGTTGAACGAGTGGGGAGGGAAGGTATACTTGGACTATTTGGGAATCTCCCATTCAACCTTTTTCCTCTCCTCTCTAGGAGCTGAGCAAGCTTATTCCAAAGTCAGTGGTGGGGGAACTGAAGTCGGACTCCAGAAATGTGGTGCAGCTCATAGAAGACGCCTATAAAGTGAGGACATTGAGTAGCCTGGCTCATCTGAAATTAATCTTGATCAGGGGAAAGACCACTTTTCCAGTGCCACCGTTTGCTTGAGCTTTACTCAGAAAATGTCCTGAAGGCACCCAATGCTCATGCTCTAATAAGAAATAAGTAGACTTCATAAGCTGTCATAGTTGGGAGATAACCTAGAAGCACTCTGAGCCCCTTGAACCGGTTATACATATAAGCACGCCCCTTAAAGACTTCTTAGGAATGGGGTGAGGTCTACAGTAGACAGTCTAAGGTTAAAGTTTTGGGGGTTTGGGGAAGAAACCACAGAGTCAGGTAGTGCATTTCAGGCGTTTGCAACTCTGTTACTGAAGTTGTATTTTCTGCAGTCTAGTTTGGATCGGTTTTCCATGAGTTTGTATCTATTGCGTGCTCTTGTATTGTTTTGGTTGAAGCTGAAGTATTCATTGGCTGGTAGGACATTGTAGCAGATGATTTTATGAACTACACTTAGGTCATACTGAAGGCGGCGTAGTTCTAAGTTTTCTAAGCCCAGAATTTCAAGTCTGGTGGCATAAGGTATTTTGTTGCGAGCAGAGGAGTGAAGGACTCTTATGAAATATCTCTGGACTTGTTCAATTGTATTAATGTCCGATATACAGCGTGGATTCCAGACAGATGAGCTCTATTCAAGAATTGGTCTGGCAAAAGTTTTGTATGGCCTAGTTTGCAGTTCAATATTACCGGAGAAGAAGCTATGCAAGATTAGGTTAACAACTCTTAATGCTTTTTTAGCAATGCTGTTACAGTGAGCTCTGGCACTTAGATCATTTGAGATGAGTACTCCAAGGTCTTTGACAGAGTGAGGGTCGTCTTCTAGGTATATAAGATCTCAGATGGTGTAGAGGTTAAGATGTTAGATTGGCACTGGGGAGATCCAGGTTCTATTTCACCCTCAGCCGTGGAAACTCAATTTTGTGCTAGATATCCTCTCCCAGCTCCACCTACTTCAGGGGGTAGCTTTTGTTGGAGGAAATCGGACGAAGAGTGCTAGGATGCTATATTGCATCCCTATATGGTATACATGGATGTGTAGATGGAGGAGTGACACAACTTATTTTTTGGGGAGGAAAATAGGGGGGGAAAATCTGCCTACCAGATATTCATCTAGCTAGTGTAGTCAGCTTCAGCACATTAGCTTGCTGGTTTTTATCCCCTGTTTGGGGATAAAAAAAAATCTTCTAAAGCACAACTGATCTTTGGAGAGAGAAGCAATGAGAAAAGCAGGCAAACCGTGGAGATCACTTCACTCGCTAGTGCCTCATTCAGGCTGAAAAAAAAGCTTTACAGCTGAGAGTCGGAGGGAGCAGACAAAGCACGGAAGATCACTTCACTGAAAAAAAGCTTCTAAAGCACAGCTGAGAGTTGGAAGGAAAAACATGGAGATCGCTTCACTTGGGAATGGAGATTTTGCAATATCCTTCCCCCAGGAGTGGGATGGGAATGGAGATTTTGCAGTATCCTTCCCCTGCCACATCCACCAAGCCACGCCCACAGAACTGGTAGTCAATTTGATGCTCCCATGATAGAAATAAACTGTGGCTTTCTTAAAAGCAAATAGCTGAGCTGAGTTTTGAAGCACAGCCCCCTACCCATCCATAATCACTGGATCTGCTAGTAAGAACATGTGTAAGCATTCTCCTTTTCTGCCTTGCTTCGCAGCGTAGTATAATCCAAGTCATAAGCCTACTCACAAGAGATTCTGTCTCTCCACAGAGTCTTGCCTCCACAGTGAAACTGGGGCATTTCTCAGACCTTCCGCCTGGAATCTCCATTTCTTATGACTCCCATTGTGGGGACACAGAAACCTATGGGCAGACAGAGGGTGGAGAATGCAGTGACGTGTCTGTCAACCAGATGGTAAGCATTTAAGTCAAGAGCTTCTGATGGCTCCAAATATGTCTCAGGAGAAGCTCTCAATGAGGTTGCTGTGTTACAGCTCTAGCAGTCTAAGCATGGATAGAGAGCTACTGGGAATTGGAATTTGGCAACATCTGGATTGTTACAGATTTATCACTTAGGGAAGTTGATGGAGCCCATCTCATTCACCTACCGGTATCTTCTCAAGGTACAATTCACAGTGAAGATAATGGCAACCATTTGCCTACCTGAGTCCCAGAAGCTGGTGTTGCGAGTATTAGGAGTGGGAGAGGAGGTCCAAGTAGAGCTGTCAACAGCTTGTGAGTGCCAATGTGGAGACACCCAGCCTGATGCACACCACTGCTCTGGTGGACATGGCAACCTCACTTGTGGCATTTGCAGGTATTTATATGATTTATTTCACTGTGTTTTGTAAAAGCTGCTTTGCTGTGTCATAATAGTCAATGATATCGACAGGCTAGACCTGATAACTACTAGGAGAAGCGGCTACAGATTTAGCCTGGGAAGGCAACAAAACAAAATACACCCAATAGCAAAATTCTTCTGGTTGCTATTGATGTGTCCCAAAGGTACTCAAGGAGTCAAGGAAGCTTTACTTCACTCCAGGAATGGGTTGATTACTGTAAAATTAAAAGTATAATAGAAATATATTGATGATAGGTTAGTAATACCTCCAAAAATGCTGCCAAGGAAATTGCATGGACTTGTCCAGGCAGGAGTCAAGACTGACTCAAAGGCCCCTGGATCTAGAATTCTCTTCAGAGAATTCTCTCCTGAAATTCTCTCCAAGATCTAGAATTCTCAGTTTCCCCAGGCCTAAGTTGGAGCTGGGCTCACCACGAGAGGCCCATAACCAGGCTCAGATCAGGCACCATTAATTTCTCTCTGATATCCACCGTGCGACTGTGATCTCCTTCCAGGATTAAGTTGTTCTAGTTTTAACTCCTGTATCAGCAGCCCCTCTGCATCATCCTACAATGTTTTGTAAGATTGGGTGAGAAGAGGAAAAAATATACAAAGGAACAGAGGAAGAAGTAAACCATAGGGAGAATGGCAGGGATAAAATACCTTATGCCACCAGACTTGAAATTCTGGGCTTAGAAAACTTAGAACTATGCTGCTTTCGGTATGACCTAAGCGTAGCTCATAAAATTATCTGCTACAATGCCCTACCTGTCAATGACTACTTCAGCTTCAACCACAACAATACATGAGCACACAATAGATACAAACTTAAAGTGAACCGCTCCAAACTCCGATTGCAGAAAATATGACTTCAGCAACAGAGTGGTCAATGTCTGGAATGCACTACCTGTCTCTGTGGTTTCATCTCAAAACCCCCCAAATTTTAACCTAAGACTGTCTACTGTTGACCTCATCCCATTCCTAAGTGGTCTGTAAGGGCCGTGCATAAGAGTACCAGCGTGCTTACCATCCCTGTCCTAATGTTTCCTCTATTTGTATCTATTTCATGTATCCAATTATGTTTATACTTATTACCTAATACGTTTCTGACAAATAAAATAAAAATAAAATCAATAAAAAAAGAGAAAAGGAAGAAATCAGATAAAAGGTGACAGATAGTAGGATAAGATGACACTCCTTCAACAAGGAAGTTATCCCTTAACTGTGATACTCTCACCAGTACTGCAAAGGCTGACTGATGACCTGGGGAGTTATTCAAACATTATATAAAAAGACAGAAAACAAATATTTACAAAGCCATTTTATAAACGCAATACTACATTAAAACTTTCTTTCAATACGTATGTCAGACTTGTAAAGATTCATCCCAATTCTGATTAATCATTGAATTTAAGTCACTCCCTGTTTGAAAAACTCCCAAAGTCTGTAAGATATTATTGAAATTAAATTAAAAAATATGAATAGTTAGTACTTTTAAAGAGAAGAAAAAGATCTTATTGCATGACCATAAATTGGAGAGAGAGATTTACATTTAATGAGTTAATTGTAGTTAATTGGGTTTTTATTGATGTGAGATATATATATAATTGAAAGAAAGTTTTAATGTAGTTTTGTGTTTGGGGGAACTGAGTTTATAAAGTGGGTTTGAAAATGGTTTTTTTTCTCCTTTATAGCTTGAGTAATCCTTAAAGTTTGTAACATATTACTGAAAGTGAATTTTAATGTATGTATGTTAAGGGAAGGTTAAAGAAGAATAAAGTTTAAAAAAAGATGTGTTAGAAATTGATTCTAGAAAAGTTTTTAAAGAAAGGGTTAATATTTTAAAATTTAGAAAAAGTATTATTTTCTTTAGGGTTAAAATTTGAAAGAGTATACTGAGTTTTATTAATATAAATTATGACAGTCTATAAATATTAATGAGCAAACAGAAATATATATTATTTCCCACGGCAAGGAAAAACAGAGATTGTTAAATCAATTATTATCTTCTACTGTGCCAAAGAAAGTTGGAGATCAGTGCCTTTTGTTTCTTTTTCCCTTTCTATCTCACATTTTCTCTTTCCCCCTCTGTCCTTCCCCTAGTTTTCCATTATATTTTATTTTCCTTTGTATCTTATATTTTGATAAAAATTAATAAAATTTAATATAAAAAAACTAGCCGATGACCTGAATATCACCCTCTCCCTCAAAATATAACCGTGATGATGGAACTATGCAATCTAGGCACCATAAGTGCCACCAAATTGGTTATCGACCACAGAAAATACTCTGTTTCCCCCAAAATAAGACATCCCCTGATAATAAACCCAATTGGGCTTTTGAGTGCGTAGCAATAAGGCCAAGCGCTTATTTCAGGGTTAAAAAAAAAAAAAATAAGACAGGGTCTTATTTTGGGGGAAACAAAGTATAATGAAAATTTCACTTACGTCTATTGTTGCAGAGCAATAAATGCTCAAAAAAACCTTTTTCTTCATTTGCCTGGAATAAGGTCCAGGTCAGAAATATTACAATAAAATAGTGTAATATTGATTTCATGGTCTGTTCTTTTGCCTTCATGAAGTGGCAAAATGATCTACAGTTAGTCCTCAACTTATGACTGGTCTCTTGGTGACCATTTGAAGTTATGATGGACGAAACACTGTTTTGGCCGGCAAAGTGCTACAGGAGGCCATCCAGGCCAAAAACATGGCACGTGGGGGTCGCCCACGGCCCCCACATGCCCCATTTTGGCTGCCAGAGGCACTGGTCCTTTGCTATTTCCAGGCCAGCCCCGCAGGCCAGATTTAAGCACCCTGAGGGCCGGATCGGGCCCGCATGCCTTGAGCGTTTTCCTGGAAGGCCTGATTAGAGAACTTCTCTGAGAAGAATAAAGAAATGAAACCTTCATGTCTAAGTGGCAGTTCCTATTCAGAAGAACTACCGAACAAGCAATATTACTTCTAGCAATTTCTATTTATTTATTTTTTTGCTTAAATCTTCTTTTTGACCAAACACAATCTCTGCAATCAAAATTTAAAAACTGCAAACAGTTTCAAAGAGGTTGTTCAGACCAACTTCAAATCTCACATTTATCTTCTCACTGTAAAATTCAGTGAAGAAAAAAGTATCTGGATCACATCTAGGGAAAAAAAAACATGATATGGTAATGTGATATGCATAATCCTGATTTCACACACAAATCTTGCCAGAGACCCTGTTTATTTTAATTTTTTGTAATAAATGTAGGATTGAGGGATTTGAGGCACATATATATTGAAATGTGTTTTTTTTTTAAGTATAGTTTTCCTTGGGAAAATCTGGAGGGGGCTCAAAACCCATTACCTCTGGAATGTTATTCCATGCCCTAACAAGGAATCCCCCCCCCAAACTGATCTAAGAAGGCTCAAAGGTATGTCCTCAGAAGCTGATTGCCCTTGAAGGTGGATAGATGCCTGACTGCGCCACCTGAAGAAGTGTTTGGAGCAAGGGTGAAATCCAGTAGATTCTGACAGGTTCTGGAGAACTGGTAGTGGAAATTTCGAGTAGTTTGGAGAACTGGCAAATACCACCTCTGGCTGGCCCCAGAGTGGGGAGGGAATGGAGATTTTGCAGTATCCTTCCCCTACTATGCCCACCAAGCCACACCCACCAAGCCACACCATGCCCACCAAGCCATGCCCACAGAACCGGTAGTAAAAAAATTTGTATTTCACCACTGGTTTGGAGTAAAGACCATAGAATGGAACACAGACAAAGCAAAGAGCAGACATCAAGCATCCGTTAGTAACAGGCAGCTGCATTCAGAAATCTCTCTGAGTTTCAAAGGAAGAGAGTTTTATTTAATTCAGCATAAGTTTGGAACCTACAGAGATCATTTCATGCGAAAATCTTGAAGAACGGTTGAAAGACAATGATTGATTGATTTATAGTAACTATCTGTCATAGCATTAGTAGAGTTCCCCTTTCCTTTTCTCTCCTCTTCTACTAATACTTAGATAAGGATTAACCCCAGCTTCAATCATAATTGAAGGATTGTAGCTATGCCAGCATGGAGAGGTAGGAAGTTGGTGAGGATGAAACCACACAAGCCAACGCTTGACTTAGAAATGCTCTTTGGCTCCTCTCCATGGCCCATTTCGCCTCTCTGTTCTAGATGTCGTGAAGGCTACGTTGGCCGGCGCTGTGGTTGCAGGAAAGAGGAACTACTTGGGCCAGAAGGTGTGACCCTAGCAAGTGGGCCCTTCTGCAGTTGTGACAACGTTGCCTGCGAACGACATAATGGGCAACTCTGTGCAGGTAAAAACATGAAGTTTCTTTTAAGATCAAAGCAGGGGTGAAATCCAGCAGGTTCTGACAGGTTCTGGAGAACTGATAGCGGAAATTTTGAGTAGTTCGGAGAACCGGCAAATACCACCTCTGGCTGGCCCCAGAGTAGGGTGGGAATGGAGATTTTGCAATATCCTTCCCCCAGGAGTGGGGAGGGAATGGAGATTTTGCAGTATCCTTCCCCTGCCATGCCCACCAAGCCACGCCCGCCCAGTGGTGAAATCTAAAATTTGTTACTACCGGTTCTGTGGGCGTGGCTTGGTGGGGGGGGTAATGTGACTGGGTGGGCGTGGCCATTTTTTTTTTTTACTTTTAAAACCATTTTTTCTACAACCTCTTCGGCGAAGATGCTTTCAAAAGGCTCTGACGATCCCAGCTGAGTTGCCTGATCGGCAGAGGCTTTTTTAAAAAGCTTCTGCCGATCAGGCAACTCAACTGGGATTGTCAGAGGCATTTTTAAAAAAAGGGTTTTTTTTCTTTTAAAAGCCTTTGAAGATCCCAGCTGAGCCGCGCGATCATGAGAGGCTTTTTTTTTACTTTTAAAAGCATTTTTTGGCCGAAGAGGTTGTAGAAAGAAATGCTTTTAAAAGTTAAAAAAAGCCTCTGATGATTGTGCGGCTCAGCTGGGCATGGGGGGAGGGGCAGGGATTTTTGCTACCAGTTCTCTGAACCACCCGCCTCCATCGCTACCGGATTGCGCGATCTGGTCCGAACTGGGAGCATTTCACCCCTGCACCCGCCAAGCCACACCACACCCACCAAGCCATGCCCACAGAATCGGTAGTAAAAAAATTTGGATTTCACCACTGGATCAAAGGTACTATTACTCTCCAATTGAAGAGTATATATGTAGCTCAGGGTTGAACCATAGAAGCCTTGGTTCTGTCTGAACTTTGTTGATTGCTTGCAGGCTTTTAATTTCCCAAGTAGGTAACATCACTGATGGACAAACAGAAAAACAAATGTAAGAATGGACAGAATGACAGATGGACAAAACGGACAGTCATCTGGCCAGACCAGACGAATGGATAGACAGCACACAGATGGAAAGAGTCATAAACAAAAGGATGGTCAGACAGAAGGATGAACAGACAGACACATGGATATATAGATGAGAGACAGATGAACAGAAGGACAGGCTATTGGATAGATAGATGAATGGACAGAGAGACCAACAGGCACACAAAAGGATAGATGGGCAGATGGAGAAATATAAGGACAGACAGATAGAAAAATGAACAGACAGGATAGACAGGCAATAGATAATGGATAGATGGACAAACTGCATCTGCAGACAGTAGACAGATGGATATACTCTGGACACTGTCCATGTGTTTGTCTGTCTGTCCATCTATCTGTCCACATAGATATACAGACAGGGGGATGGACAAACAGACAGCCTATTGCCCTTTCCGTGATGTCCCACTGCCTGGAAGCGGTGCGGGTTTGGATGGGGAGGAACAGGCTCAGGCTCAACCCTTCCAAGACTGAGTGGCTGTGGATGCCGGCATCCCGGGATCTGGAGGTTCCATCCTTAATGATCGGAGGTGAAACCCTTGCTCCCTCTGACAGGGTCCGCAACTTGGGTGTCCTCCTGGATTCTCGGCTGTCTTTAGATGATCATCTGACGGCCGTAACCAGGGGGGCCTTCACACAGGTCCGTCTTGTGCGCCAGTTGCGCCCGTTCCTAGACCGGGATGCCCTCGCCACGGTCACTCACGCCCTTGTTACCTCTAGGTTGGACTACTGTAACACCCTCTACATGGGGCTGCCCTTGGGATGTGTCCGGAGGCTTCAGTTAGTCCAAAATGCAGCCGCGCGGGTAGTTACGGGGGCGTCTAGATACTCCCGTGTAACACCTCTCCTGCGTGAGCTGCACTGGCTACCGGTGGCACTCCGGATACGTTTCAAGGTGCTGGTGCTCACCTATAAAGCCCTTCATGGCTTAGGCCCGGGGTACTTGCAGGACCATCTCCAGCCGTTCTCCCATCGTCCTGTGCGCTCTCACAGAGTCGGCCTCCTCAGGGTGCCGTCGGCCAAACAATGTCGGCTGACGACCCCCAGGGGGAGGGCGTTCTCTGTGGGAGCCCCGACCCTCTGGAATGGATTGCCCACTGAGCTCAGGACAGCCCCTGACCTTCTTTCCTTCCGTCGCGAGCTGAAGACGTGGCTCTTCCGCCAATTAAACTGATCCGTTTGGGGGTACACTGATATAATTTTAAATCGTTTTTAATTGGGTTACTGATTTTAATTTGGTATTGTATTGTGATTTGTATTGAAGTTGTCTTTTTGTAAGCCGCCTTGAGTCCCTAGGGAGAAAGGCGGCATATAAATCACAATAAATAAATAAATAAATAAATATTGGGCAGATGGATAGGCAGCAGATGGATAGACACTTAGGTAAACAGACAGATGGAGAGACAGACAGACAGACAGACAGACATGGAGAGAGGACAGGCAAACAGATGGACAAACATACTGTTGAAGAGATGGATAGCAGTCAGACAGATGGCTAGATGGGCCAACAACAAAGGACAGATGGACAGACTGATGTGGATGGACCAGTGGATAAACAGAGAGAGGGAAGGATGGACAGACAAAAAATGAACAAATGGAAGGATGAACAGACAGATATACAGATGGATATGAATAGATCGACAGATCAGACAGACATATAGATGAGCCCACAGACAAACAACCTGGCAGACAGTTGGACAGCCAGCCAGAGAGACAGAAGGATAGACTGATACATAGGCAGACAGAGGGACAGACAGATGGACTGGGGGACATACAGCCACAAAGAGGCAGACAGACAGATGGCCACTATTACTTTGATTAGCCATTAGCTGGATAAATATAAGATACATAACTCACTATCATTATGAATGTTTCCTTGTTGAGGTCTGAGCTTGGTTGTTTTCTTGCAGACGTTTCATTGCACCCAAAGTAACATCATCACTAACACCGTATGTCTGTATGTCCCTCAGTCCATCTGTCTGTCCCTCTTATCTGTCTGTCCACCCGTCAGTCTGTCTTTCTGCCTCTCTTGCTGGCTGTCCAACTGTCTGTCTGTGGGTCCATCTTTGTGTCGGTCATTTCAAACCTGAGCTACAAATATTCTCCTTTATATGACTGCATTGGAAATGTTGTACATGGAGTAGACAATTCTACTGCCTTAGCACTCAGTTTCCATTAGAAAGAAAACATATCTTTAGCCTTCCACCTCGTGGTTATGCTTGTAAATATGCAGGCAATGCCAGTGGAAATCTGTAAAGCCAGTAATTTGGAGAAGGCAGAGGATTTGTGGGTAAGACAAATAATATTCTATTCTTTGATGCCGATGTTCATATTAGATAGAGAAGACAGATTGAAACTGACTCATGACCCTGGAGGTTGGAGGATGGGGATAAGGTGACAGATAACAAAAACCAGGTTGCTGTCTTTTCTGTGCTTTAAAGGTGTGTGTGCTTGTGTTAGAAGTTGCTAGTATCAATAGAACAGACAGGTTTGGGGGTCTCCTTAAAAGAGCAGAATGAAGATGCATCAGATCAACCCACAGAAGGGTTCCTCCCACGATATTATCCTCCATTCCTGCAGCAAAGATAATTTTAGAACTTGTGCTGCTTTTCTAAGTCATTGCAGAAAGTATGGTATATAATCTGTAACCTTGTGGTCTTACTCAAGGTACAGGTAGGTCTTGACTAGTGCTGATAAAGAATCCCACAAAAAGGTCTCATTATTCAGCTTTGCACTATTCAAAGTGATATTTCTGTGGCAAACAAAGTTAAGTGGTTCCAGCTTAATGGAAATAGGCAGTGAACATTTTTAAAAGCAAATTTGTGTATGTTTATCGATGAAATATAAAAGATTAAAAGAATATATTTGGAAGTCACACAGTTGATATATAGTAGAAAGCATAATTTTAAAAAATTATAAATGTTCCTGTTGATAAGAATATTGATTTATTAATAAAATTTAAAAAATTAAGTGAACAAGGACAAACTAGAGGATAAATCAGGGGTGAAATCCAGCAGGTTCTGACAGGTTCTAGAGAACCGATAGGAGAGACTTTGATTAACTCGGAAAACTGGCAAATATCACCTCTGGCTGGCCCCAGAGTGGGGTGGGAATGGAGATTTTGCAATATCCTTCCCCCAGGAGTGGGGGTGGAATGGAGATTTTGCAGTATCCTTTCCCTGGAGTGGGGTGGGAATGGAGATTTTGCAATATCCTTCCCCCAGGAGTGGGGTGGGAATGGAGATTTTGCAGTATCCTTTCCCTGGAGTGGGGTGGAATGGAGATTTTGCAGTATCCTTTCCCTGGAGTGGGGTGGGAATGGTGATTTTGCAGTATCCTTCCCCTGCCATGCCCACCAAGCCACGCCCACAGAACCGATAGTAAAAAAATTTGGATTTCATCACTGGGATAAATCCATAGTCAAAGCATAACCTTCTATCTGCTGTATTCTGCTGTAACTCTTCAAAATTAACCTCTTCTTTTTTTTCTACTTTCTTCGAACAGAGCCGCCCTTTTCTCCATTTTGCACACATGATGTGTGTGTTAGCATTTGAAACCCAAACACAACAATGCATGTGCTAGCTTCAACTGTACATGTATTTGCTTCGCATTAAGTCAATTTTGGCTTGCATTAAATATGACCTGATATCAATATATAATTTGCACTAAATCAAATACCGCACTATTTGAACTCGCAGTAAGCAGGACTTATCCGTAGTTCTGAATGCCAATAAAAGATACTTTTTGCATCTTTCTCCAAATACCTTGGTGGCTTATTGAAGTGGGCACTTTCCCCACAACAGAAAGAACTCCACTATGGTGCTTGTCTCCTTCTGCCAACAGGTAACGGGCAGTGCAGGTGTGGCCATTGCCAATGCCAGGCCAATTATACTGGCAGCGCGTGTGAGTGCAGCCTGGATACCAGTGGATGCACCCAAGACGGCAAGATCTGCAATGGGCATGGCCACTGCGTTTGCAACCGATGCCAGTGTGACGTTGGGTGGTTGGGCAGCCACTGTGCTGACCACCAGATGCCCTGTGAAGTGCACAGGTGAGGCTGAGGGGAGGGAGCCAATGGATGGAGGGAAGAGACTGGCTGCTTGTTCATGGTTTCTTTTCACTAGGAGGGCTTCGTTCAGCAAAGTTCATTGTCAGTCACTGCCCTGATTAAGTCAAAGAGAGAACCATTACCATGTACTTTGACTGGATTTGATGCCAATGACATTGCACTTTTCAATGGTTCATCAGTACTGCACAGGAGCACTGGATACTTTCAGTGCAAGTTTCCTTGAGAAAGTTGACATTCTAAATCCTTTCATTTAGTTGGACTATCAGTGGGCATCAGTGAAGCAGACAGGCCAGGCACTCGGGATAGCTTAAAACGGGGTTGCAAAAGCTGAGTTGCTGGGGTTGTCTGAATCTACTGAATTGCATGGTCTCTAGAGTATCACCCAAGGTTGCCACCACATTTTAAGTGACAGACGGGGGAATATTAGCAAGTAACCGGAGGGCTCCATGAGTTTTTATATTCCTAGCCAGCACACTGATAACATTTAGAACTGCAGTCCTAGCATTTTCAGATGATGCCAGCTTTAGGAAGATTTCATTGGGCTTCACTGTGCTACTACAGGTAACCCTTGACTGACAACCACAATTGTAAGGGGTTTGGATTAGAAGACCTCCAAGTTCCCTTCCAACTCTGTCTATTCTGTTCTGTTCTGTTCTGTTCTGTTCTGTTCCGTTCCGTTCCGTTCTGTTCCGTTCCATTCCATTCCATTCCACTATTCTATTCTATTCTATTCTATTCTATTCTATTCTATTCTATTCT